AATGAGGTGGCCTTCTTTCTTTTATACTATATTGCAGATTACAAATGACAAAGCAAAATGACAAACCCACAATTCTAGGTACATGGCTGTGGGCTATTAACTTTCCAAAACTTATAAAACTATTATTAAACTTATAAACTAAACTTACGTCTTATCTTATCTAACTTATCTGTCATTCACATTATATAAGTAAAATGTGCTAGACAGTGAGGTTAACTAAAACGTGAAAAAATGGTCAGGGTGAAGAATACAACATGGGACCAGAACATGTGACCCAACCTTGTGGTTGGCACCATTCTCTGAATTACCACCAGCCTGGGGTGCAGATGGGTCTACATAGTCCAGCAACATATATTTGTGGCCTTTTAGTTTCTTAAAATAACTGTTCCATTGCTTGATTAGAGTATGTTTCTGTGCAGTAGTTTTACATCTAGGCCCAGATCATTTTAATCTCTCTAAGAAAGGGAGAGAGTTAAAAGGAACTCTTTTTCCATCTACCCCCACCATTCTTTTACCTTCTATGTATGCCCCAGGATAAGGAAGAGGAAGGTCAGGCCATTGGGAAGGTTTAAGCTCCCCTCCCCAAGGAGGATACCAAAGTCTACCATTAATTCTATAAGCTACATTAGAAGGAGGCTTAACTGTAGGAGGCAGCCACTTAGGCCAAGGTTTCTTCCTGTCAGGAGTAATCCCTTTTCTATGTTGTGTTGCAGGGGTTGGTATTGTAGGAGGTTGAATAGCCATGAGATCTTTCCACCAATATGAATTCTCAATGTCTTTAGGATTCCCAGGGGCCTTTCCAGCTCTGGCTCATCATGGGGATTTCTAGGAAAATTGAGTTTTTGGAATTAGAAATCAAAGAGTCATCTGGAAGGTGGCCTGATTCATGGGAAACATGAAAATCAGTTTTGGACCCTCTGGGATGAACCAGAAGGAGCATGATCACCATAAAGATTATTGTAGCAATTAAGATAATGGACCAGAATATAACCGAAAGTAAAGGTGGAATTGGCTTCCGCCCAAGACTCTTGACAGCTGGAGCTTTGTCAAGCAGCAGTCATAGAGGTCTGGGCATCACCATAGCTGAGTTGTTATTCAGCAGCCTGCCATTCTCTGCTGATCCTGGGACTTTCAATGAACTTGAATTAATGGCCTGCCATGTGGTTTGGTAATATTAGGACTGTGCCTTGTTACTTTTTGACCTTGGGTTTGTCAGCCTCAGCAGCCAGCAGTTGAGTGAAGAAAAGCCTTCAGCTTCAGTGGGATGGGAGCAGGAGGCAGAGCTGAAGTGCAAGGTTGAAGGACTTTCACCCAGCCCCTAGAGCCTGGCACTTGGAACTCAGACTTAAAGCCTCGAAATTGTAAGAATAAATTCCTGTTTGTTCAAGCCATCCCCTTTGTGGTGTATTTCTGTCAGAGCAGCATGAGGTAACCAAAACAATGGATATACCAGTTTGTTCTGTTCACTTGCTGATGGGCATTTAGGTTGATTCTAGTTGTTGGGTATTACAAATAGAGCTACTATAAATATTTGTATACAAATATTTGTGTGGATATATGCTTTTCTGTTGCTAAGGAATGGAATAGCTGAATCATATAAAGGTGTATATTTACTGTCAGACTATTTTCCAGGATGGTTACATTTCTATCACCAATGTGAGAATTCCAGTTGCTGCACATTCTCATCGACACTTAGATGTTTTTCTGGTTCCCTAGTGCCACTCTGACAAGAATATATACCACTAATGGGATGGCCTTAAACAAACAGGAGTTTATTCTTACAATTTGGAGGCTTTAAGTCCAAGTTCCAAGTGCCAGGCTCTAGGGGCTTGGTGAAAGCCCCTCAACCTTGGGGTCCAGCTCTGCCTCCTGCTCCCAGCCCACTGGAGCTAGAGGCATTTCTTCACTCAGCTGCAGGCTGCTGAGGCTGAGAAGCCCCAAGGTTGACAGGTAAAAAGGCACAGTCCCAATGTTTCCAAACTACATGGCAGGCCATTAACTTAAGTCCATTGTAATTCCCAAGGTTGGCAGAGCATAGCAGGCTGCTCAGCAATGACACGGCTACATGGAGGGTCCAAGCGTGCCAAAGGCTAGAGACCATTCCCAAGGCTTCTCCTTATATACAGGAAGCAGACCACATCCCAAACGCAGCTACTTAGCGGCTTGTGGTAGATTCCACCATGGAGTTGATTGCCAGTCTCATCATGGGGAGTAACTACCACCAGCTGCCCAGCCACTCAACCAGGCCCAGCCAGGTTGACACACAAACAAAACTACCACAGATTTGCAGTCATTTTTAGTGGTAGTGGTATCTCTTTGTGGTTTTAATTTGCATTCTTCTAATAATTAATGATCTTGAGCATCTTCTATGTGCTTATTTACAAAGAAGACTCTTAGGTGAAGTATGTGTTTAAATCTTTTACCCCCCCCCCCCCTTTTTTTTGATCAGGCGATGTTAATATTGAGTTTTGACGATTCTGTGAGTTGGATATGATTCCACAGCAGTGCATTGTGTTGCATTTTATGTGTGTTTGTGTGTATAAATAAATATAAATATAAATAAAACCTAACTCACTGCCTTTGAGTTGGTCCTGACTCATAGTGACTCCTTGGGTTTCTGAGGCAGTATCTCTACGGAAGTATATTACCCAGTCTTCCTTCTAAGGAGTGGCTGGTGGGTTTGAACTGCCAGCCTTCTGGTTCATAGTCAAATGCTTTAGGCACTGTGCCACCAGAGCTC